TCACTCCCACATCTTGTAATCTGAGTTTGTACCCTCTGCACTTTCTGTTCTAACAGTTTCTGAGCTCTCTGTCTTTAGGGAAGGGGGGTGAAAGCCATCCAGAGACTGTGAATCTGTTCACCCGCTCTCTTCCAGTGTTTCTTCTCCTAGCTGTTCCCCATCCAGTATTTCCCAGCTTCTGCCTTCTGAACTATGCCCCTCTGCAAACCATTGTTCCAAATCTATACTGTCCTGCTCCTGAGAAGATTCAGGATCAGGGGGAAGGGGTGGCTCCCACCATTCTTCCTCAGTGCAGTCCTCCTCCTCACGGTCCCTGACAAGTTGCCATCCACAGGACACTCACGTGAACATTATGATGATCTCAAATATCACACAGGCTCATAATGTATATAGGACATGTAACTTTCACCATTCCTCCATCCTCTTTTCATTGGTGCACCCCTCCACCCAATCACCGCTTCAGTACCTTGCACCTGCCACATCCAGTCCTCCACCCCTCTGACTTCTGCTACAAACCATCCTCCGTTACCACCTTTCAAAGCCTACTTACGTACACAATGTTCAGTATTGGCAAGAGCTCTTGCCCCATCATTTAGGACTCATGAAAGTCACTAAATCAACTTCCCCTCAATTGATTGCCAAGGACAACATGTCTAAAAATAATCAGATACAGGGCCTGTGATGAGGCAGATAAACAATCCAAGGTATATTAATCGTTCTTTCCCAGCCCAGTCTTTTGTGTACACTTCATTAGGCCCGAAAATACATGACATGAGCTCAGCAGGCCACACCTTCTGATCAAAAGGCGATGTTACAGCTTTGGAGCAACACCTGTAAGCCCCAAATGAGGCATACTTCAAGTGCTTCAGAAGCTATATAAGGCAGAGGAGTGTTCTCAAAGCACTTGGCATCCAGATGCAGCAAGCACAATGAACGGAATACAAAAAGCATCCAGGGTTGCATTGTGGATTATATTTGCTCTGAGCATGCATGCGGCAGAAGGAGGTAAGGTGTTTTGTTCCCCACCACCACCATGATTCTGGGCTAAGGGTGCAAGGGACTGTGAATTTCAGTTCTGATTTTTCAAACATTACGTTTGGTTCTCCATATTTCTGCAGCAATTTGCAATATATTTTTAAAAAGCCGTTTGAAAATTCATCAGCATTCTAGTGTGCTTTTCTAGTACGCAGTTTTTGACTAATGCACACATTTCTGCTAGCAATTTCCCCTAATATAATGCATTTGTGCGTGTAATTCATTTTTACACACTTTCCCCATAATATATGCACTTTTGTAAGCACAGGTTGTATGAAGAACTGGATTGCAAAATTCAGATAAGTGTGAATTTCAAAGGATGACTGTATTACGGTTTTCATATTGTTTCAGGAAATGCAGACTTGATAGATATGGCAATCTGAATCAAATTTCTCCCCCTGCCTTATCTGGGACCTAATTTCCTAAGTAAAATAGCTGACTAGACTTTGAGTCTCTGAGTCTCCCTGTTGATAAACCTGTTGCCCTGGCAGCCCCCGGACAGAGAAGGTCCCAGGAGAGGGGATCAGTGATTCATGGGGATGGACGCTGTTTGCAAGGCAGGAGCCAGGGGAGGAGGGAGAAGTCAGGGCAATCCGAGATGAAGGAAGGTGCGCCAGATGTGGCAGAAGAAGAAGAGGCTTTTCAGCTGACAGACGGGGCAGTAGACTTCCCACCTTCCCCTGCCCCACTGACTCCTAGAACCAAGAGGAGCATCAAGTGGGAAAAGCAGTGGTGGTATCCGTGCAGGAGAAGTCTCAGCTTGCGGGCACACAACCCATCATAAGAGGGTATATAAGCCAGCAGTGGGGCAGGGTCTCCCTGTTGTTGCAACTGCTCTGTAGGGCCCCAAACTGTGGACAGCTGCCTTGAGGCTAGAGGTGTGTGTACACATCCAGAGCACAGTGGAAGCTGCTATAAGAGCTTGCTATCAAACATGTGGAGTTCTTGGCTAAGGAGGGCCAGGGCAGAACATAGCAACTGTGGCTAGCAGGTGTCGATAGCTTTATAATTCCTTAAACTTATCTAACCCTTTTAAAAAAGTTGCTGGCCCTCACAGCATCGTGTGGGAGGGACTCCCATGGTTTAACTGGGTGTTGTGTGAAGAACAACATTGTCTGCCCTCAATCTTCCAACAAGCAGCTTCGTCAGATGGAAGCTGTTGGGTGACCCTTAAATTATTTGTACTGCTGGCCTGGGCCTGCTGGGAAAGAGAAGCTGGATTAATCATGGGTTCTCCATGGCTCTCTACCGTGTATGGTGGACTTTTCTCGAAGCTTTTAAGATTATAATGTGAGCATTCCTCTGGCCTATTCAAAAGAGTCGATGGCTATAAACCTCTGGTGAGCCCATGGTTTGACTTGTCAATCATGTATAAAATATAGAATAGTAGAATTGGAGAGTTGTAGAGTTGGAAGGGTCAACTGGTCCAACCTCCTGCAATGCGAGGATCGTAGCTAAAGAATCTCTGACAGATGGACACTCCATCTCTGTTTAAAAACATCCATTGAAAGGAAGTCCACCAGCTTACAAGGTGGAATGTTCCACAGTTGAATAGCTCTCACCACCAGAAAAATCCTCCTAATGTTTATTTAGAACCACCTTTCTTGTAACTTTAAGCCATTGGTTCAAGTCCTACCCTCCAGAGCAAGAGAAAACAAGCTTGCTCCATCCTACATCATGTGACAGCCCTTAAGATATTGGAAGACGGCTATCCTATCTCCTCTCAGTCTCCTCTTTTCCAGGCTAAACATACCCAGCTCCTTCAAGTGTTCCCCATAAGGCTTAGTTTCCAGACCCTTAATCATATTGGTCGCCCTCCTCTGTACACGTTCCCACTTGTCAACATCCTTCTTAAATTGTGGTGCCCAGAATTGGACACAGTACTCCAGGTGTGGTCTGATCAAGGCAGAATAGAGTGGTACTATTACTTCCCAGACTTCTGTTCTTGCAGCCTAGAATCGCATAAGCTTTTTTTGCTGTTGCATCAAACTGTTGACTCAGATTTCTCTTATATGTCATACATTATATATTTGTCTCTATATAATTATCTATTATTTCTATTTTATTTATCTGCTTTTGATTGCATAGGCTTCCTTTTTCATCTCTCATTCAAAGTTATTTACTCTGAGGTGTGTTCGTCCTTTAACCTTTATTCCTTTTTCATCCTTTCATCTCTTTCTTATGTGTATTGGCCTTCTCAATCTGTTTTCTCCCGGCCCTACACGCCCTTCTTTTATCCCCAGTAGTGTCTCAGAGGTAGAACTGAGGACTGTGAAGAACTTCGATTCAGCCCACCTTTAACAGCGAACTCACCTAATCTGCATTTCCCAAAACAATAAGCAAACCGAAGCACAGCCTTTCTTCAAAATTCCCACTGCTCCAAATTTTGCAATGCAGTTCTCCAGAGATGTCCTGTGCACAAAAATGCACATGTTGTTGTTGTTTAGTCGTTTAGTCGTGTCCGCCTCTTCGTCACCCCATGGACCAGAGCACGCCAGGCCCTCCTGTCTTCCACTGTCTCCCGCAGTTTGGTCAAACTCATAATGGTAGCTTCGAGAACACTGTCCAACCATCTCGTCCTCTGTCATCCCCTTCTCCTTCTGCCCTCCATCTTTCCCAACATCAGGGTCTTTTCCAGGGAGTCTTCTCTTCTCATGAGGTGACCAAAGTATTGGAGCCTCAGCTTCAGGATCTGTCCTTCCAGAGAGCACTCAGGGCTGATTTCCTTAAGAATGGATGCGTTTGATCTTCTTGCAGTCCATGGGACTCTCAAGAGTCTCCTCCAGCACCATAATTCAAAAGCATCAATTCTTCGGTGATCAGCCTTCTTTATGGTCCAGCTTTCACTTCCATACATCACTACTGGGAAAACCATAGTTTTTACTATATGGACCTTTGTTGGCAAGGTGATGTCTCTGCTTTTTAAGATGCTGTCTAGGTTTGTCGTTGCTAAAAATGCACATATACCAGGTAAAGTGTGCATATAAATTTAGGCATTAACTCAAAGAATATACAGGGTGTTGTGCAGTCTTCCTTCCCTATTCCCCAGGGAGATTTTGCTGAGAAATAGCCTCAGGAGTCATGGGAATTTCCTCTTGAAGCTGCATACAACACACTCGACAATGATGCATTGATGCCAAGTTCCCCTCCTGTGTTGATAACTTGTGGTGGTAAGTGCTGGACGAAGTCAGCAAAGGACAGCAGCTACTGCTGCTTTTAGGTTGCGGCAAGTGATGGGAGGAGATTAGAAGGAAGAGAATCCAGAGGCTGAACAGCAGCCCCTTGACTTTGTGCTCCCACTACTTTTGCAGAAACGAAAAGGGAAGGGTTTGGAACAGGAGGTGCAGAGAACTTTTGGTTCACTTAAGATCCCTGACTGGGGAAAGTGCTTCCAGTGCAGTAGAAAGTGCCCTTCTGAAGGATAAGGCGACAGGGCAAGATATCATTCAAAATTTATACAAGATGTCAGAAGGGAGATGTTGAAAAAGGTCCAGATAACATCCCTTATCTTTATCACAAAAAGGGGATTATGTGATTACTATAGACTGGACAGTTTGAACTAGGCAATAGATCAGAGCCTAGAAACTATAATACTATTTGTTTAAAATGATATAAACATCATTCATCTTCACAGGATTAAATCTAGGTAATATTGTTAAGGTGATATTCCCAACAGTAAAACCGACTAGTAGAAATTTTAAGCCAACAACCCTCAAATCTGAATCCACTACAATGCCAGAAACTAACAAGCCCCAAACCTCTCCAACTACAGTTACTACAACAACAACTTTAGATGCAAGTAGCCCTACAACAATGATTGACTCCAAAACTCCCACAACTGAATCAACTACAATGCCAGAAACTACCAAGCCTGAAACCTCTCTAACTACAGTTACTCTGACTTTAGATACTACTACCCTACAACAATGATGGACTCCACAACTCCCACAACTGAATCAACTACAATGCCAGAAACTACCAAGCCTGAAACCTCTCTAACTACAGTTACTCTGACTTTAGATACTACTACCCCTACAACAATGATGGACTCCACAACTCCCACAACTGAATCAACTACAATGCCAGAAACTACCAAGCCTGAAACCTCTCTAACTACAGTTACTCTGACTTTAGATACTACTACCCCTACAACAATGATGGACTCCACAAACTCCCACAACTAAATCAACTACAATGCCAGAAACTACCAAGCCCGAACCTCTCCAACTACAGTTACTCCAACGACTTTAGATACTACTACCCCTACAACAATGATGGACTCCACAACTCCCACAACTGAATCAACTACAATGCCAGAAAACTACCAAGCCTGAAACCTCTCTAACTACAGTTACTCTGACTTTAGATACTACTACCCCTACAACAATGATGGATCCACAACTCCCACAACTAATCAACTACAATGCCAGAAAATACCAAGCCCGAAAACCTCTCCAACTACAGGTTTAACCTCCAACGACTTTTAGATACTACTACCCCTACAACAATGATGGACTCCACAAACTCCCACAAACTGAATCAACTTACAATGCCAGAAACTACCAAGCCTGAAACCTCTCCAAACTACAGTTCACTCCAACGACTTTAGATACTACTACCCCTACAACCAATGCATGGACTCCACAACTCCCACAACTGAATCAACTACAATGCCAGAAACTACCAAGCCTGAAACCTCTCCAACTACAGTTACTCCAACGACTTTAGATACTACTACCCTACAACAATGATGGACTCCACAACTCCCACAACTGAATCAACTACAATGCCAGAAACTACCAAGCCCGAAACCTCTCCAACTACACTTACACCAACGACTTTAGATACTAGTAGCGCTACAACAACGATGGATTCCACAACTCCCACAACTGAATCAACTACAATGCCAGAAACTACCAAGCCTGAAGCCTCTCCAACTACAGTTACTACAACAACTTTAGATACCAGTAGCACTACAACAAAGATGGACTCCACAACTCCCACAACTGAATCAACTACAATGCCAGAAACTACCAAGCCCGAAACCTCTCCAACTACAGTTACTACAACAACTTTAGATACTAGTAGCACTACAACAACGATGGACTCCACAACTCCCACAACTGAATCAACTACAATGCCAGAAACTACCAAGCCTGAAACCTCTCCAACTACAGTTACTCCAACGACTTTAGATACTACTACCCCTACAACAACGATGGACTCCACAACTCCCACAACTGAATCAACTACAATGCCAGAAACTACCAAGCCCGAAACCTCTCCAACTACACTTACACCAAGGACTTTAGATACTAGTAGCGCTACAACAACGAATGGACTCCACAACTCCCACAACTGAATCAACTACAATGCCAGAAACTACCAAGCCTGAAACCTCTTCAACTACAGTTACTACAACAACTTTAGATACTAGTAGCACTACAACAACGACAGACTCCACAACTCCCACAACTGAATCAACTACAATGCCAGGAACTACCAAGCCCGAAACCTCTCCAACTACAGTTACTACAACAACTTAGATGCAGTAGCCCTACAACAATGATGGACTCCACAACTCCCACAACTGAATCAACTACAATGCCAGAAACTACCAAGCCTGAAACCTCTCCAACTACAGTTACTCCAACGACTTTAGATACTACTACCCCTACAACAATGATGGACTCCACAACTCCCACAACTGAATCAACTACAATGCCAGAAACTACCAAGCCTGAAACCTCTCTAACTACAGTTACTCCGACTTTAGATACTACTACCCCTACAACAACTACAGACTCCACAACTCCCACAACTGAATCAACTACAATGCCAGAAACTACCAAGCCCCAAATCTCTCCAACTACAGTTACTACAACAACTTTAGATACTAGTAGCGCTACAACAACAATGGACTCCACAACTCCCACTACTGAATCAACCAGAATGCCAGAAACTACCAAGCCTGAAACCTCTCCAACTACAGTTACTACAACAACTTTAGATACTAGTAGCACGACAACAACGATGGATTCCACAACTCCCACTACTGAATCAACCAGAATGCCAGAAACTACCAAGCCTGAAACCTCTCCAACTACAGTTACTACAACAACTTTAGATACTAGTAGCGCGACAACAACGATGGATTCCACAACTCCCACAACTGAATCAACTACAATGCCAGACGCTACCAAGCCTGAAACCTCTCCAACTCCAGTTACTCCAACGACTTTAGATACTACTACCCCTACAACAATGATGGACTCCACAACTCCCACAACTGAATCAACTACAATGCCAGAAACTACCAAGCCCCAAATCTCTCCAACTACAGTTACTACAACAACTTTAGATACTAGTAGCGCTACAACAACAATGGACTCCACAACTCCCACTACTGAATCAACCAGAATGCCAGACGCTACCAAGCCTGAAACCTCTCCAACTCCAGTTACTCCAACGACTTTAGATACTACTACCCCTACAACAATGATGGACTCCACAACTCCCACTACTGAATCAACTACAATGCCAGGAACTACCAAGCCCGAAACCTCTCCAACTACACTTGCACCAACAACTTAGATACTAGTAGCCGCTACAACAACGATGGACTCCACAACTCCCACAACTGAATCAACTACAATGCCAGAAACTACCAAGACTGAAACCTCTCCAACTACACTTACACCAACAACTTTAGATACTAGTAGTGCTACAACAACGACAGACTCCACAACTCCCACAACTGAATCAACTACAATGCCAGAAACTACCAAGCCTGAAACCTCTCCAACTACACTTGCACCAACGACTTTAGATGCTAGTAGCGCTACAACAATGATGGACTCCACAACTCCCACAACTGAATCAACTACAATGCCAGAAACTACCAAGCCTGAAACCTCTCTAACTACAGTTACTCTGACTTTAGATACTACTACCCCCTACAACAATGATGGACTCCACAACTCCCACAACTAAATCAACTACAATGCCAGAAACTACCAAGCCCGAAACCTCTCCAACTACAGTTACTCCAACGACTTTAGATACTACTACCCCTACAACAATGATGGACTCCACAACTCCCACAACTAAATCAACTACAATGCCAGAAACTACCAAGCCTGAAACCTCTCCAACTACACTTACACCAACGACTTTAGATACTAGTAGCGCTACAACAACGATGGATTCCACAACTCCCACAACTGAATCAACTACAATGCCAGAAACTACCAAGCCTGAAACCTCTCCAACTACAGTTACTACAACAACCTTAGATACCAGTAGAACTACAACAAAGATGGACTCCACAACTCCCACAACAGAATCAACTACAATGCCAGAAACTACCAAGACCGAAACCTCTCCAACTACACTTACACCAACAACTTTAGATACTAGTAGCGCTACAACAAAGATGGACTCCACAACTCCCACAACTGAATCAACTACAATGCCAGAAACTACCAAGCCTGAAACCTCTCTAACTACAGTTACTCCGACTTTAGATACTACTACCCCTACAACAACTACAGACTCCACAACTCCCACAACTGAATCAACTACAATGCCAGAAACTACCAAGCCCCAAATCTCTCCAACTACAGTTACTACAACAACTTTAGATACTAGTAGCGCTACAACAACAATGGACTCCACAACTCCCACTACTGAATCAACCAGAATGCCAGAAACTACCAAGCCTGAAACCTCTCCAACTACAGTTACTACAACAACTTTAGATACTAGTAGCACGACAACAACGATGGATTCCACAACTCCCACTACTGAATCAACCAGAATGCCAGAAACTACCAAGCCTGAAACCTCTCCAACTACAGTTACTACAACAACTTTAGATACTAGTAGCGCGACAACAATGATGGACTCCACAACTCCCACAACTGAATCAACTACTATGCCAGAAACTACCAAGACCGAAACCTCTCCAACTACTCTTACACCAACGACTTTAGATACTATTGGCGCTACAAGAACGACAGACTCCACAACTCCCACTACTGAATCAACTACAATGCCAGAAACTACCAAGCCCGAAACCTCTCCAACTACACTTGCACCAACAACTTTAGATACTAGTAGCGCTACAACAACGATGGACTCCACAACTCCCACAACTGAATCAACTACAATGCCAGAAACTACCAAGACTGAAACCTCTCCAACTACACTTACACCAACAACTTTAGATACTAGTAGCGCTACAACAACGACAGACTCCACAACTCCCACAACTGAATCAACTACAATGCCAGAAACTACCAAGCCTGAAACCTCTCCAACTACACTTGCACCAACGACTTTAGATGCTAGTAGCGCTACAACAATGATGGACTCCACAACTCCCACAACTAAATCAACTACAATGCCAGAAACTGCCAAGCCTGAAACCTCTCCAACTGCACTTACACCAACAACTTTAGATGCAAGTAGCCCTACAACAAAGATGGACTCCACAACTGAATCAACTACAATGCCAGAAACTACCAAGCCCGAAACCTCTCCAACTACAGTTACTCCAACAACTTTAGATACTAGTAGCGCTACAACAACGACAGACTCCACAACTCCCACAACTGAATCAACTACAATGCCAGAAACTACCAAGCCTGAAACCTCTCCAACTACACTTGCACCAACGACTTTAGATGCTAGTAGCGCTACAACAATGATGGACTCCACATCTCCCACAACTGAATCAACTACAATGCCAGAAACTACCAAGCCCGAAACCTCTCCAACTACAGTTACTACAACAACTTTAGATACTAGTAGCGCTACAACAACGATGGACTCCACAACTCCCACGCCTGAATCAACTACAATGCCAGAAACTACCAAGCCCCAAACCTCCCAAAGTACAATTACACCAACTACTTTAGATACTATTACCCCTACAACAAAGGAGGAATACACAGCTCCCAAATCTAAATCCACTACATTGTCAGAAACCACCAATGCTGAAACCACCCCATCTACAGTCATTCTGACAACTGAAGTTAACAGTAGTGCTGCAACCAATTTGGCTTCATCAACTCTAAAATTTGAATCCACTACAATCCCTGAAACTACCAGTTTTAGAACCTCCCCAACTACAGTCATATCAACAACTGAGGCATGTAGTTCTACTACAGCAACGATAAACTCTACAAGTCCCAAATTTGAATCCACTGTAATTCCAGTAGCTACCAGTTCTAAAACCTCCCCAATTACAGTTATACCTACAACTTTAGATATCAGTACATCAAGGGTGGACTCCACAAGTCTCAGATCTGAATCCACTGCAACACCAGAAATTACCATTCCTGAAACCTCTCCAACTACAGTTGCACAGACCATTTTAGATAGTACTACAGCTACAATGAAGATGGAGTCCACAACTCCCAAACTGGAATCTACTACAGTGCTTGAAACTGCCCTTGTTACAGTAATAGGAAGAACTGAAGCTAGTAGTGGTGCTTCAACAATTTTGGAGTCCACAACTCCCCCATCTGAATCCACAATACCTGAAACAACCACTTCTAAAACATCCCCAAGTACCGTCATAACAACAACTGTAGTTGGTAGTATTGCTACAACAAAGTCAACAACTCCCAAATCTGAGCCCACCACTACACCTGAAACAAACAACCCTGAAACCTCTGCAGCTAGTACGAGTAGTACTTTTACAACAGGGTTAGACTCAACAGTGACTGAAAGAACCTCTCCTGAAGCCTCTACCACTACCGTTATATCATCAACTGTACTTAGCCGTTCTGCTACAACAGAATTGGGATCAGCAACTCCCTCATCTGACTCCACCACAACACCTGATGCAACCTCTCCTCAAGGCACAAGTACCTCAATGCTGACAACAGGTTAGAGTTTGTTTTGTTTATTCAAAATGACTTTGCTTTGCTTGCTCATGACTTATCCTCCAAGGGTTAGTGTCTGAAAGATGTTTTGACTCACCAAAACAGAGGCTGCTGTTGGGCTAGCTCCAGATGGTAGGAGGGATGCAGTGAATATAAGGGGAGTGCAATAAACTCCCTTGTCATGATTGGAGCATTATCTGGTTAAGTTTGGACTAATGGTTGGACCATTATCTGGTTAAGTTTGGACTAATGGTGGCATCTCCACCTGTAAAAGGTGGTGGCCTGTTCAGATTGCCTGTCCTTGGAGACTGATGGAACCTGATGTGTTCCAGAATGCTCTGGGGGATTTTCCAAAGCTGAAAGCTGGTGATCTTGTCAAAGCCCTTATCTTCTTATATGGTGAGTAGAAATGGACAGTTGACATGATCCCTCCAGCGTTTTGGAGCCTGAGCAGCTCTTTGGTAATCTGAGGGGCTTCGGACTATGAAACAAGCTGGATGAAGACTGGAGAGCAGGTGGGACAAGTCACGCCGTAAGCTGACCTAACACTGGTAAGAACACACAATAGTGTCTACCATGTGGCAGTGTGGGCTATGAAAAAGGCACATTTTGCAGCTCGCATGGCGTCCTCTAGAAGCTGGCTGGCGGACAGGCTGGCTGGCTACTAACTCCCAGTGTGAGGAAGGGACCTCTGGAGCCCTTGAAGACCCGCCGTGACCAACTGGCTACTTTGAGGATAAAATTGCTCTACTTCAGAGAGATGTTGACTCTCCATTTGTTGCAGCTCTGGATGAAGTACCCGGTACTGCAATCAATGACATTTTGTACTATTAGTTTTGTCGTATGTGGGCCAAGTGGTGGTGGCAATGCATCTGACCATGCGCTCCCTTGACCCCTGTCCCTCCTGGCTTACCAAATTTAGCAGAGCGAGGCTGACTGGTTGGATCCAGAGTGTGGTTAATGCTTCGCTGAGTGAAGAGGTGGTCCCTGCTGCATTGAAAGAGGCAGTGGTGTGACTGCTCCAAAAGAAACCAACTCTGAGCCCTTTAGCTATTGGTCCATTGCCAAGGTGATGGAGAAAACCATGGTGGGGTAGCTGCAGGCATCCTTGGATGACACAGATCTAGTTGCATTCCAGTATGGATTCAGGGCTAGCTATGGAACTGAATCAGCCTTGGTTGACCTGATGGATAACCTCTGCAGAGAGTAGGACAGTGGAGGTGCAACCTTGTTCCTGCTTCTTGATCTCTTGTTGGCTTTTGATACCATTGACCATGGTATAATCCTGGACCAGTTCCATGGAATGGGAATTAGGAGGCACTGTGTTACAGTGGTTCCAATCCTACCATCAGGACCAAGCCCAGAGAGCAGTAGCATTGGGGTTTCTTTCGGTCCTCTGGCAGCCGTGTTATGGGGTGACCTTATCTCCAGTGCTATCTGATATCTACATGAAGCCACTGGGAGTGGTCCTTGGGAGTTTCGGGGCAAGGTGCCATCAGTATGCTGATGACACTCACCTCTATTTCTCCAGACATCTGAATCAGGAGACACTTGCAGTCCCTGGGCCACTGCCTGGACACAGTGGTGAAATGGATGAGGAAAAATCAAAACAGATCTCTTTACACTGTATATGACTAATTCAGATTACCCTACTATTACTTCTACTCCTATGACTATTTTTATTTCTCAAGTTCAAACCACCTTTGGCAGTGTTCCTACAACAGAGCCGAAATCAGCAACTCCCCTGTCGG